ATATTTTCTTACTTTCATTAGTTCTCACTGTTCAGTTTTTCATTTAATTATATATTATATAATATATTAGTAAAAATCTGGAGTTCATAACATTAAAAAATGTAAAAATGGCACAAAAATTGATATTATAGATTATACAGATTAGCCAACATAAAAATGCCGAAATTCGTATTGTTAAACTAACTATAGTTTAGCAGAATTTTTAAAATACACCAAAAATGTTTCACTTTCTATGGTGGCTAGTGTAGAATATTTTCATCTTTTTGAAAATGTTAAATTTGAGTATCCAGAAATTCTTATTAATGTTCTGTTTGAATATACCTTAATAGGAAGTCTCATCGTCTTGTTAAAAAGATCATTATTCATTTCTAATTTCTGTTATGATATACAGGGTGTCTCAGGCTGAGCGTGCATTAGAAGTATTTATAGAACTACAATATCTAAAGCAGAGATTTTTTGCATATCATTGTTTCAACTAATAAACATATTTTCAATATGGCGGCACTTCCGGAAATACCGGAAGTTAACAGCAACTTTCTTACTTTAAATGTGTACCCTTACCTACTTTTATTATACACACACCGAAAAAATCTAGGGATATCATTTTATTAAAGTTAAAAATAAATGTTTTGAATAAACAACCACATCTTTGTAGGCCGAGTCTTTCTACTTCGATTGAAACGAAGTAGTCACACTAGTTATTTCTAAATTTGGGATATTTGCAGAAGTGTTTGTGCATTTTTTGTCAAATGTATAAAAAGCACCTAGCATCAATTGTTCGAATTTAACCTGTACTGGCTATGTTTTTATGATAACTAGCCAGAATTCATTCAAATAACTCTGTTTAGTATTAAACGACATTATGGAGCGTAGACATCTTAACAGAGACGAAATGCTAAGGGCCATGGGTATGCTCGAAGCTGGAATGCGCCAAATCGACGTAGCTAGAGCATTAAATACAGCGCAAAGTGTAATATCGCGATTAAGTGCACGCTACCGTGAAAGTGGTGATGTGGCTGAAAGGCACACAGGGCGACATCGCATTACTACCCCTCAGCAAGATCATTTTTTACAATTAAATGCTCGACGCCGACCGACTCTTACAGCACCAGAGCTTAGTTTAATTCTCCAGGAAACACATAATGTAACCGTTAGTCCTGACACTGTTCGCAATAGATTAAGAGAGGTCAACTTAAGAAGCAGACGCCCCTGGAGATCTCAACCCTTAACGAGAGGAAATCGAGAGGTACGATATTTGTGGGCTCAAGATCATGTTCAGTGGTCGAATGAACAATGGGCCAATGTTCTTTTCACGGATGAGTCACGCTTTGGAATTCATCCGGATTCGAGAAGGTTTAGGGTATGGAGAAAACCGGGAAATCTTATTCGGTTGGATCATGTTCAGGAAGTACACCTTTATCAAGGTGGAACAGTTATGGTCTGGGGAGGAGTCCAGTTAGGCCGAAAAACCGATCTCGTTTTTCTTGAAAGGTTTCTAACAGGAATCACATATCGTGATTTAATTCTTGAGCCTGTCGTGTTACCATATGCCAATGATTTTGGGAGAAACTTCATTCTCATGCATGACAATGTACGGCCTCATACAGCCAGAGTGGTAAGTGAGTTTATCAATGCTCATCATTTAAACATCTTACCCTGGCCGGCACAATCTCCTGACTTCAACCCCATCGAGCACGTATGGGACGCGGTCCAAAGAAGAATCTTGAGAATGGGTATGCTTCGTGAAACTCGTAAGGATCTAGTTCGGGCCGTGAATGCAGCGTGGCAGACTGTACCTCAAGAAGAGATCGACAACCTGATCAGGAGCATGGAGAGACGATGTAGGGCTCTAATGACAGTAAAGGAGGCCATACCCTTTATTAAGTAAAAATGGTTTTATCTTTTTTTTAGAGTTTAGAATTAAAAAAAAATGTGTGTATTTTTTTTGAGTTCAATAAAAATCAAGGTAAATTTGAAAAATTCGGTAAATTTCGCATTTTTATTTCCAATACGTCTTGTAAACTATTTGTTTATTTTAATTTTATTATATCAGAAATGCAAATAATAAAATTACTGACGATGGCTGGATAAAATTGTAATATACCTAGACTTTTCCGGTGTGTGTATATTTAAATTATTTGTAAAATTTTATGGATTTTGGTATTAAACACTATATTTAACATTAACCGTTTTTGTGGAAAAAAATATTTAAAATTTTTGGACGAAAAAACTGCCTGTCAAAAAAACATGTTTATGTGTTTAAATAACCTTTTCACCAGTGAAAAAAGTGGGTTTCCATTCCAGCTACGGCCAATATTATATGACATTCGAACACTTAATTGTACTTTTGAAATAGATAGCCACATATGTCTTCTCTTTATGCCACAGTGACTGTGATAATCACCAAATTTGACGTTTAGGCTATACTAACTTTTTTTGACAGGCATTTTTTTCATCTAATAATTTTAAATATTTTTTTTCTTAAAAACTCTATACCTAGAGTGTTGTATATCAAAATTCATAAAATTTGACAATGAATTTAAGCATCTAATAAAAAAAGGGGGTACCCATTTAAAATAAAAGAGTTGCTGTCAACTTTCCGGTATTTCCCGAAGTGCCGCCAAATTGAAAATATTTTTAATCGATAGATCACATTGTGAAACAAAACTGAGATACCTTGTATACGGTTGCAGAAAAAATCTGAAGGCGGTAAATTTGGTTATTAATGTATTATCTAATATTTCGGGACACTCGGTATAGTTTTCAAAAAGTAGAACAACTTGTTAAAAATGGAATCGTCTCAAGAAAATTGATATAACTAGTTTTGAAAGAATTGTCAACAATGAATTACGAGTTAAGTAAACAATTAAGTAGTTCAGAGATAATATGCTGGGTAGAGATTCCATCTTGGTAATAAAGTAAACTTGATTAATGAAAGATTGGTAAAAAAATAAATTAAGATACTCTAAAACTACATAATATTATAACGAAAAGCTTATAGTAGATAGATTTAGATATATAATTTATATATAAATAGAATTTGAAAAAATGGAGCCAAAATTATTGCTTCGTATTAAATGCATAAATGTATATTTTTAACAAAATCTGATCACTGATAAAAAAATCCAAACCGTTCTGATTGTGTTATTAACAATATGGAATCAAAATATGTACATTTTAACGGTTGTCTATGTGTATCTTTTTTCTTTTAACCAGTGGCGTAGCTAGTGAGGGGGTGAATTTGACGCAAAAACATATTTAAAAAAAAATTAGAAAATGTAATATTTATATTTATTCCTACATAATAATATATTTTGTATATTACTGTAAGTATTTAATTGTAGCTTTGAATTTGTTCATTTCTTACTAATAATAATAATTCAAAAAATAATAAAACATTTTTTTTAAATTCTGCCAATTTTTTTTCTGGCTACGCAACTTTGAAAAATCGCTGGATTTGTTTATCAGTGAAAAATAGTAAAGTGGCAAACTATTTCTGCATAAAATTTATCTGAAACTCAATAGATATAGATATACTTTAGAATAAAATAGATCGAAATTTACAAAATAATTGATTCTATTTACACTCAAATAAATATCGATACGAAATTAATATACCGAATGGTTCAGTACTCCTGTTTCAATTTTTTTGAAACAGATATACAGAGATACTCAGTATTTTATGATTGAAAAAGTTTCATTCGTTATACACGGAAAAATGTGCAAAGTTGATTCTAACATTTTCTTATTTCTTAAAAATTATATAAATGTGTCACATTAGATGTGACATTATTAGGAAAGTACTAAACCTAAAAATAGATAGCTTTAATTGTGCTTCTCATTTTTCAACACCAGACCCTATGGAAATCAACCATAAAACTCTTAGTACAAAGTACATACGCAAACCTGTAACACATAGGGGCAAAATTTACAGCTTTTTGATGTGAAATGTCTCGGAATATAGTTTCACGTCAGTTAGATTGCTCCGACTTGATCAATTCTCTTGATTCGTGTAAACGCGCCTTTAGACTTTGTATTTGAACTTAAATTTACTTTGTATATGCCAAAATTTATTTCAAACAACCCTCCGATTATAACTGTATAATAAGAGGATAATAAGCCAAATACTAAATTTTATTAAACAATGAGTTTACAGATTAAAATTGATATATTTATATACAGTTCGCAAAAAAAAAATCATGAAAAAAGGGCTAAAAACAAAAAAAAAATCACTTTAAATTTGACGAAATTATTTTCCGTTGCGTTTTTTGCATCTGAGTATATCATTGATAATTATGTCTGTCATAACAAACTATGTCATAAACTAAGGTATTTCTTCTCTTCCAAACCTAGATAAACTTTAGTTAATCATATTGTACCTAGGGTTTTATGGTTAATGGTATAAATAGGTACCGGGTACCGGGTGATACACTATCAGGCGTATCATAAAAAATCCCAAGTAAATTTTAATATCCTTAAGTGTTTTTTTTTTCAATTATACTGCGATTATACTAATCCAAACAAGGTGAATAGTAAAGTAATATCACATATCAATTATTTTGATCTATTTTAAAAAGGTATATTAGAAATTATTTTTAGAAAGTACTCAAAATTATCTCTGGATAAATAATATTTTGGACTAAATCAATATTCAATTAAAGGTAATGATAAATAAATAAAGTGATAAAAAAGGTAAAGAGCTTTTTTGTAGCTTTGTATATCAAAATATGTTAAATGTAATTAAAGAAGTTTTATAGATATTATTAGAGGGAGATATATAATGAAAGACTTATTTCTCAGTAATAACTAAAATACCAGATAAATATGTAAAATTGGGAAGTTGGAATGAATATATTACTTTCCAAATACATATACAGTATATCCCCGGATTGTCTTAGCAAGAGGAAAAACTTTTTATTATTGACATTTTGAGAAAAATGCATTCTTCATAAAAATGTTTGCTTGTCCTAAAATAGTTAATTCCGTTTATACTTTTCCAAATTTCCATACCGTTTTAGAGAAAATAAAAAAAACATGAAAATAATAGTAAAATTTCTTTCGAAAAGTTCTAAAACTCAAAACATGATTCTATGGTAATATAATTTCGTTTTCATTCATTGATTGTTATTGATAGAATTTTAATTAACGTCATATTTTTGCTATTTTAAAATGTCAAAGAAGCACAAAATTTATTTAGTTCAATACTACGGAAATAGTGATAATCTGAGGATATTGTTGCTGAGGCGCCATCTCTTAACCAAGTAGAAAAGTAAGCGAATCAGGCGGCAGAATTTACTAGTAGGAGGCAGAATGATACCGAATATTTTAGAAGGTTCCAGAAACAGTCAGTAGAGTATATAAAGGCGCGCGATCGACAGTTGAGCAGATGGAAATTTGAAAGTACACCGTTTTAAATTGTGAATCCTGACAATTTAGCGAAGGAATTTATAAATAGTTAATTGTGTGTTGTAATTAGTATAAATTGTGTGTATATAGTGAGAAAAATTAATTCGTTCAGTATTTGTATCGTGAGTTTAAATTAGTGGACCCACAGAATCCGTAACAATATTTTCATGTTTTTTTTTATTTTCTCTAAAACTGATTAACCGTTTTAAAACAAGCAAACCTTTTTATGAAGAATGCATTTTTCTCAAAATGTCAATAATGAAAAAGCGTTTCCTTTTGTAAAGACAATCCGGGGCCATACTGTAGATTGTATATTAAAATCAAAAAAACTAGAAGACTAAAAGCCGAAATTATGTACAGGGGAAATTGTTTTTCATTGATTATTCTAAATTATTCTCGCTTTATATATATAAATAATTACATATTGACCCGTATAAAACTATTAAAACCTACCTAAGGATACTACAATTTACACGAGATCTTTCATGACCATACCATCCAGTGTATTTTGATTTTCTTACGATCTCCATATATCCCTTATAGTCTCTCCCCGTTTTCTGTACAATGTGCACAAAAGTAACAAGGGTAAATACACGCTTTTTTAACATAAAATAATCATAACAGTAAAACGTTCTGATTGTACAGCCTTTTCAGCATGTGCGCCCGCCACACACGCAGTGTTATTACCCCACCTCCATCATCTTCTTTCCTCCTCGCTAATAAAATAGTCCTAGAGTCCGATCTACGGTACTTTGTACAACAAGCTATAAAACCGAAAAAGAGTTACAGTCTAACGGGTCGTTTTTCAATGCCTCGCCCCTAAACAGACGGCGAGAATGGACAGGAACAAAGCGTAGGTGGGCGTCGTTAACGTGTTCGCATTGGACTTGGGTACGTGTACTTTGGGCTCTAGGTTGATGTCTTTGTTGACGTTGGTGACTTTTTCGGAGTGGTCCGGCGTGACGGAATGGTGTCGTGGAACTTCGTCGTCACCTAGAAGAAAAGAAAAACGTAATATTGACAGAATTACTTTGTCTTGTAAAACTCAAAAATATTTTTTTCGTCTACAGTATTCGCAAAACATTTTCCGATGCACTTCATCGATCATATCGAAATTGACACTAAAGCCTATAAACTTGACTAAATTAAATTTTGGCAAAAATGTTTAAATTTGTAACTTAAGATACCCAACAGCTCTTCATTTCACTTTATAGAGCAAATGATCGTAACAGATATTTTATTTAGATTAAAGCTGCAAAAATTAGTTTAAAACGATTTTTATTATGGCAATGTTGGTCACATTGGGCCGCGATCATCAACGTTGTCGTTTATTACTTGACAATTATCATAATATCAGTCATTATTTTGTATAATACCGTGTTGTTGATTCTTTGGGAGTAATTCCAGTTTTTTTGCCGATTTTCATAGTTTTTTTTTAAATTGTACTTTTAAACACAGTTCTTTTAGGAACTAAATTTTCGAGTTTTTGTATTGCATTTCTTGAAATTGTGTATTGAAAATATGCCGAAGCATTTAAACAGTCGAAGCGAAGAGCTTGTAGCTTTCTTGATAAACTTTTTTGAACGAGAACGTGACAATAGTTTTTGAAGTAGTTTTAGGGGGAAAATTGTAACACCATGCTCGGCCAGCTTTGGTCGAAAAATGGCTCCAAATGGCCGAAAATCAGTTTTTCGGAAATATATCTGTCAAAATATTCAATTTAAAAAAATTTTCTTGTAATAAAAACTGAAGCCTAGGTTATTTCAAGGAGTTTCATACTTAATTTATTTAAAAATAATTTTCTGTATAATTGTTTTCCATCAAATTTTCCAATATTTTCATAGTTGTTCCGCTATTCTGGGCGAAGATGACTCCAACAAATCAGATATCATTAAAATTTGTCCAACTGTTTTTTAGTTATAAATGGTGTAACTAACTCGTCTTTATTGTATTTATTTAGATTCGACAGAATACAGTTTAGTTACTTTAAAGTAAAGTATTTCTAAAAAATGAAATCCTTCAATAAATTATTCGGACTTTCGATAATGTTTCTGGTTCGCCTCTGGCAATTTGCGCCCGAGTTCGAAGCAGTTTACTAAATCGCTAACAAAATAAACAAAAGAGAAAAAGAAAAAACCGTCTCGAAGAGACGGACGTTTTAGAATTGTCACCGATTCGTTTTGAGGCTCCCGAGCTTTTCGTTTTTCTTTCGCCGACTGAGCCCGGTTCGCCAGGCAGCCTCGGAATTCTGAATTGCCATCGATTAATTTCAAACGTAACGAGCGCGAGACTAGACAAAACAAAGTAGAGAATACATTTTATTTATTCACTGTTTCACTGTTTGACGACAGTGATAATATTATAGGGTATTTTCATGAGCAAGCGAATTCCAATAAGTATCCAATTTTTCAATATTCTAAACAACGTTTCTAATATTTCCTTCTAGAGATGAGCAAGAAATCCCAAACTGCGATATCATCGCAGCGGTTTTAAAATCGCAATCACAACCTGCGATTGGCTCTCATAATACTGGGATTGCGATTTCTTCTATTTGCGAGTTTCAATTTAGGCAGCCAGTATTACTGTAGCTGCGATGTGCGACTTTGTTGCGATTTGCGATTTTGTTGCGATTTTGCTGCGATTGTGATTTTGTAAACCGGGACCGCGATTTCTATCCGCGAGTTTCAATTTTTATAGTCTAAGAGCTAGCAACGATTTCGAGAAAGTATTTTAAGACGTCTGGCTCTTTGATATATCTTATACTATGCTCTCTGGAACAGCATGCATGGCATATCGGCAGCATGCGGCTGCCGATACCCGTTGTGTTCGCTACTGCGAATCGGAAGAAGATCCTATATTTTTATTAATTTAGTCCTACAAATTCTAGTATTGAATATAAATCGAACATGTCTCCATAGCGCAGTGCTTAAAGTTTCCGACCACGAACCGATGATTCAGAGTTCGAATCCGGGTCAGGTCAAAGACTTTTTTATTTTATTTTCGTTTATATTCTGATAGTAAAGTATTAAATAATTCTGGTAATTAAATAAAAACAAATATTTAATACTTTACTATCAGAATATAAACGAAAATAATTAAAAAAGTTTTTGCCCTGACCCGATTCGAACTCTGAATCATCGGTTCGTGGTCGGAAACTTTACGCTGCTGCGCTATGGAGACATGTTCGATTTATATTTAATACTAGAATTTAAAGGACTAATAAAAATATAGGATCTTCTTTCAATGCGCAGTAGGGAACGCAACGTTTACTTTACAGACATGCTGTTCTAGAGAGCATAGTAAAGGTATATCAAAGAGCCAGACGTCTTTAAAATAGGTACTGTTTTTCCGACGTTGCTAGCTTTCGGAGTTACGATTTGCGATATTGTTGCGAATGTAATTTTGTCGTCTATTGAAGCATTTTATAGCAAACTGCGATTGAATTTTCTCTATGATATTATTTATTTATTTTTTAGTGTTACTTACCATCGATAGGACCATGTCCTGAACCGGAGCCTCTGGAATACTCGTCTTCCTCTCGTCAAAATCTGGTCCACTTCCAGATCCTGACCCGTCCACTCCGTCCCTCTGCATATAATCTGGATCTGAATAGTTGGGACCTAAAGTTTGACTGCCATCTGCAAACAATAACAAAATAGTGATTATTATACCTGTTTGAACATTTTGTTATATTTTTAAGCAGGTAAAATGCCTTTTAGCATTTAGAATTTCTTATATTTTGGACTAATGCACAATGTTTTAGATAACAAACGAAGCTTCATAGAGGCGTCTATTTTAAATAACTAAAGTTGTTCTCCAAATAGTTAGATTAGCAATAGACAGACTCTATATGAAGAGATACTTCTTAACAAGTTATGGTTCCGGCAAATTTGTAAGTAAAAAGGAACTGATAAACTTTTCATGGATCCTATCTAACCCAGATGCATTTTACAAATAATAAATTTAATATATTCAACGATTCAACTACTTCAGATATCGCATTAAAAATGTGGTATTTTATTCATCGGTATGTAGGGACCCTTATTTGCATAGCTGTTTCAGATTTAAAGAAGGCATCCATTTTTCTCAAAGAGACCTGGTTCAAATTAAAAAGTAAAAAAAAGACTAGAAAAAAGTAGAAAAAATAAAGAGGTCTTTTTTTTTTCTACTGTTTCAGATTTCATAGTAATTTATTTAGTTGATTGGGCTCGAAGAGGTGCAGATTGAAAAGGAAATGAAGCCAAGGTTATTCGAGAGAACGTGATCCTATAAATTAATGCGTGTATGTATCTTTCATAGGGCATTGTTCATTGAATGAATTATAGCACATCCTTATACAATGAAAAGAAAAACATAATATCCCTGACTAATACTAAAGAGAGAGGCGCAGAAGACACTCAATTTAATTTAAGGCACAAACAGATTTTTTACTGACTACTTTCTTTTCCAGTTCTATGATCTAAGTTTTCAATTAGTTACTCATTTGGTTCCTGTGTGTTTCTTTTATAATAACGTTAAGAATTATACCATACACATGAAATAATAATCATCTTCTATTTTTCTTTTCTTAGTCTTTAATATGTACCCAGAATTTATGAGAGAATATTATATGCCTAAATAACTCTGTTTACAAAACAATTCTTAACTTCACACAATACATAATTTTAAACAAAATGCTTCAAGGTCTTCATTCTTTCTACTTTTGAGTCATTCATACCAAATATACGCGTCGCTCTTTCATAACCGCACAGAGAACGAGAAAATATTACAAAATTATGTTAATATTTTTCATAATTAGATCCGAAAACAGACGGCGGTCTCCAAAGCATACCTCGACGCTTATTTACATAGTCGGAACGAAATCGCACACATCAAGGGGCTTGGTCAGGTTAGTTAGCAGGACAGGATCTCTCTCGCTTTGGGTTGGAATTCTTTTCTCGTCTTTAGTAGTTTTTTTCTCTAAATAAGTCGAGAGTTAACCAAATATTATCTAGTTATATTTACTAAGATGTAGAATGTAGAATGTATGGGAGGAGGGTTAATCACTGCAACCTTACAGATGTTTTGCATGTCCCCTTCTTTAGTTATAACTCATCGTACAGTCTCAGGGCTTTGACAAAAGCCAGTATCTGAGACGGTTTTACAACTGTCAGTTCTCCATCTTCGATATCAGTCGTATCAATCTTGGCACAAATGGTTGTCGTCTCGACGCACTCAATGATAAGGTGTTCTGGTGTTTCTCCATTTTTCACAGAATTCGCATTCGTCGTTGTTTCTTAGCTTCAATCTGCTGAAGCATTCATCGAGAGACAGTGTCCTGTTAAAAACCCCGTAACAACCCAAAGATTGTTCTTACTTCTTTGATTTTTCTCAGTCGTAAGTTCTGAGAAATTTCTTCGAGTGTCTTAGACCGTTGGAGGATTCCCATTCCAAGTTACGCTTGGGAAGAACGGTTCTGGTCCAGTTAGTGGAGTGTTCGCTCCTTTTCTGGCTATATCGTTTGTTTTTTCATTGCCTTAGTGAGTTGGCACCCAGAGTAGGAGGACTTTATCGCGAGTATCTTTGCGCCTAATTTGTTCAGCTTTTCTAAGCATTCTCTGACTAACTTCAAACTAATGGTTACTGAATTGATCGCTTTGAATTGGCTGTTGTTTCTGAAGTTGTACGCATCTTTCGATAGCGTAAATTTCTGCCTGAAGGATGCTGGGGTAAGGTGCCTATTGGTTCGGAGCATTTATTTTTCGGCCTAAATACTCATATCCCTGTCCCTGCTTTGGTTTTGGAAGCATCAGTTTACCACGTTATAATATTTTTTCCTTTTGGCGTCCAAGTGGTATTTTTAAAATGACGGCAAGTAGTTGATCACAGGAAAATTCTGCGAAGTTTATTAATATTTATGAAAAATATGAGGTGTATATGGAACACACAGAATTCGAAATAAGATATTAGTTAAAGAAGAGTAATTTGTATCTTAAGCCGAGTACAAATTACGTTCCCCGTTAATGTTTAATAAGCCCTATTTTTGAAGTCATAACTCGTTCCCTATGTGAGTTAGGGTGCTGAAACTCGGAATGTAAATGGGCCTCGAAGAGCTTCATCTTTTCATGATATTTTGATGACGTTTCGTGCACTACGAAACCCCATCATCAATTAATAAAAAAAAATCGTCCGATTTAAATGAAATATGGTATGTCAATTGATTGGCAACTTGACCGTGAACGACACGTGTCACTGTGACAATTAATTTTGTCGTAAGAAACGTCAAAAGTTGATGTTTTCTGTTCGCGACCAAATTTGGTAAGTAAGCTATGTGAGCGACGGTGCACACGGTTCCAACCCGCAAAGTTGGATACGACGTTTAGTTTCCATTTTCATCAGGGTGGGACTAAGGACTTCATTATTGAAGGAAAATGTGGACCAATTTCGGTGTGATTGGGCTACAGGATGACGCCCTCGACGTTTCGAACCGATGCCTCTAAATGGACGAAATCATAAGGATTTTTCTTATTTATGGGTCAATTGGAACCAAACTAGGCACGTGCATAGAGGTACCCGAATGGAGTCCTCAGACGGACACACAGACATACTGACGGAAGTAAGAAGTTTAACTTATTCAAATATGCGCGCATAGTGCACACAATTTTTTTTTATTTTGGCTGCAACTTTTTCCAACACAAATATAATATAAATTAAGTTGGTCTGCATACACCAATAAAAAATTTTTGTATCCTCTAGGATCTCTTATAAGAGATGACTCGTGAAAACGCGTCTTAAAACTTCAAAAAGCAAGTGGTTTCATTTCTGACTTCATCATATTTATCAAATATTTATTGTTTGTAAAAAAACTAACTGCAGGGACGTGTGAATTACGCCTGTGATTATATATAATATATTTCCGCGACGCATTTTCTAATCGCACGATATATATTCATATTTATTTCGATTTTGTTTGAACTATAAACACACGGCCCGCCGACCTTCGGCGTTTGTGTAAACCTAGTTTATTAGAGGACGGTACTTACGTAATGCACATGCCTCAGTTTGTCGACCAGAGTGGCGATTTTCGGGTCGACGTGTTGCGAATTCGGCGACGTTTTCACTTCGGGATTGTATTTCTGCATCAGGCCGACGTCAACCACCGTCTTCGTGTACCTGCAATTCAAAATTTCAATTGTCATTATCAAAATCTGAAATAACGAAATTAGTCAGGTGGTAGATAATGTTTCATTAAAAGGAAGCAGTTATATCGAACTTCAATTTATTTTTTACCTATTTATACAACAACAGTATTTCGAATCTTTTTATTCAAAGTTTCGAATAGTTATATCACAGTTTAATATTCAGTATGTTCGGCTGGGGAATATGTGCGGGAAACCGAAGTGCCAAACCAAACTGCTGAAAATAATAAACAATAGAATACAAGACGCTAAACGCTGCACAACCACGAGAACAGGCAGGTATTAGAAGCAGCTTCAGCACGATTGATCACATACATACACTAAGAGAAACAGCCGAACGAAAGAATACGAACTTCCACTAGGCATAGCCTTAAAAGACGTTGTCTTCTGCCTATATCCTAAGGCAGCTAGGCTATATCCTAAGCAGTTCTAGCGCTGCTCTAGCGAAACAAGGTATTGACAAACCTTATATAGAAACTCTCGCCAATGTATACAAAGACACCAAAGCAAGACTAATGATATATAAAACAACCCCAGAGTTTCCAACTGGCAAAGGAGTACGACAGAGAGACAACAGTAGAAGCAACACTAGAAGAAATCTTCCGTCAACTGGACTTGACCAACAAAGGATTAAAAACAGATAATGAATATCTTAACCATCTAAGATTAGCTAATTGCCAATAGTCCTGAAGAACTACAAGCATCCCCTAAGCTGTTTACAGCAACACTAGAAGAAATCTTCCGTCAACTGGACTTAAAAATAGATAAAGAATATCTTAACCATCTAAGATTAGCTAATTGCCAATAGTCCTGAAGAACTACAAGCACAAATTAACGAACTAAATACAGCCAGCAAGAAAATAGATCTCAAAATGAACTTAGCGAAAACTAAAGTAATGTACAATGAAGTAGTAGACATATAAGACATTCTATTAAATAACACAACACTGGAAATGGTAGAAGAATATATATATTTGGGACAACTAATACACAGCTCGGGATCTCTACTACCAGAAATCAACAGAAAAATTAAGTTGGCATGGAGCATGGAGTACTTATGGAAGAAACTCAATCATATTCAAATCTAGAATGGCACTTCATCTAAAGAAGAAATCATTCGGCCAATATGTAGCACTAGTCTAGGCATTCAATGGAACCAAATATGCTGGAAATAACCAAGAAAAACCGTAAAAGAATAGAGTGGATACGACAAAAGATCTAGGTAATAGATGTCATCTACAGAATCAAATTCCTTTAATCAAAGGGCAGGTTGTAAACTGGCAAGAAGGACAGACAACAGATGGACCACAAAAATTACAGCATGGTACCCACGAGGAACTAAGAGACCTAGGAGAAGACCAAACCTGATAGATTTAGACAATTAGCAAGGATAATTCGGGCCCGCATAGTCAACAATAATAGACAACAATGGGCACAACTACAAAATAGAGATTATCTAAATAGCGAAGGGAAACTACACTATAATTGAAAATGGATGAATAAGCTGAGAATGATGATGATATCAAATATTTCTTAGAGGTAATTTTATATAGTGTTGAGGGGTTTGTTGGGCAGAATATGCCCTGGAAATCGAAGTTTATTAAACAATTTGGACGTAGATCTTCCTGTTTATTACGATTTAATCATTTATTTTCTTGTTTGCCTATCAGTGTGCTGCCAGTAGCCACAATTTCTGAAGAATTTCGACGTACATTTCCCTGTATATTGCAATTTAATCGCTTTCGTTCTTGTTTGCCTGTCAAGTGTGCAATAGCCACAATTTCCGAAGACGTTCCCCGATATAAAAGATCGAAAAGAGGAGAGTCAGGTGTCCAATAAAGTTTCGCGTCAGTTCTTAACAGTCGTTCGAAATTGGTTTGGCGATTTCTAAAGAAACTGCGAAGAAAACGGAAAATATTTCCCGACTGCAGACGTTCAATTTATATGTATTGCAACGTCGTCTGTGTCTCTGGAAAGAATTTTCATTTTATACGACGACTTTATATCGTATAAAATATCCGTTAGTTTAATACAAATTTATTGCTTTAGTTGGAAAAGTTTGATGCGGTTTTATTTCGAGTTTCGTTAGGTATGTGTTTCGGATAATTCATAGTGATATATTATTGACCACCAACTTCTGATTAAACGAAAGTTACACACGTTTGTCACCCTATTTGGGCATATTTTTATGCTCACTATACAGGGTGAGTTTCATACGATGTTCTCTATGGATATCTCGGAAACTACTGGAGATAGAGAGTCGGTTAAATGGGGAAAGGAATGTATTTTTGTGGGGTCATAAATATGCACCTTTCAGATTTTTGAAAAAGTTCATGGCTTACTAGATATTTCGAAAAAAACAAATTTCGGCTATTTTAAAAATTGTCCCTAATTCCATTATAATCTATTTTAGACAAAAAGTTTTGAGATAAAAGTTGTAGATAATCACATCCCTAATAAGTTTGTGTTCTCGGATTTTTTTTAAAGCCTATCATTTTTGACATATGACACAAACATATGTTTTTTTTAATGGAAACAATAGTTGGCCATAATTTCATGAAAAGCGCTATTTTTTAAGCTTTTCAGCTGTATAAACTATAATATGTTTTTTTCGAAAAATTAATGAGTTATAATCAATTCTTATCTTTCTTGACAAACTTCACTTAGTTCGCATGGTATTCTTATTCTGTTATATTATTCCTATCCCTGAGTTTGCATAATTATGATATAAATAATTTTTAACATTTATTTCATTATGGGGGGTTATAATGAAAGTCATGTTGGAACCACTCGTGTAGATGCGCGAGTATCTAAATTTAACTTTTTTAAAACGTAAGTAACGTTCACCGGTCAACATATCCTCGAAAATGTATGGCCAAGAAAAGTTGAACCAATAATCCTACACGCTTTTCTTTATTAGAAAAATTCATATTTACAATTTTTGTTTATTTTAGTTTACAAAGTTTGGATTTGACAGTTTCACATTACTGAGAGCAACGACGATTGAACTTGTTCCCATGGCTAACAATTTTTCGAAAGAAATATATTATAGCTTATATCGCCGAAAAGCTTAAAAAATGGCGCTTTTTTTGAAGTCAAGGCCAACTACATACAGCTCTTTAGCGATCTAATGGTCTATCACTGCCTAATACAAAGACCCGCAAATTTGCTAGGCTGACTGCTAGTCGCACTGACATAAAATGTGTTCTGTCGTTTCTTCTTGATAGATTGATACAGTCTGCCGTAAATTTTAACAGCAGGTTTCAAATTTTATGATTTTAAATAACAACTGGGACTCCTGTAATAATTATATAGATATGAAAAAAAAGCGATACTAGCTCTTTTAACCCCTTTGCAATTTGCAATTGCTGCTCTATTAATCAAATCCAGTATAAAATATCGGTTATTCGAGACCCTATTCAGCTTAAGTACCCGCATTGTTACTTCGGATCCCTCTATTATATCGTAAGAACCATTAAGACATCCTTCAAATATGAGACAGTGGACGGTTAGTTGTTGAACATCCCTTTAGAAATGTATACCGTGTGATGCATTCCATTTTAAACTTAATACCACAGCGACTGCAGTAGCGAAATTTTATCCCTTTAATCTGCTAAAGATAAAAAAATTGTTACTATTATACCTGAATTTTACTAGTGAATTTTACTAATAATTATTTCAAGTTAATACCCTGCAAGTGGTTTTGCATTTTCTTCAAATTTGCATACGTATATATAATATTTTAGAGAATGAGAAATACCTAAATATTTTTGAGAATCAATTCATTTTTATTTTTTACAGGCATCATTATCAGGAATATTCTTTATTTATCCAAAGCTCGGTAGGTTTCTTCTGGCTCTGTAGGGTCGCGTTGCATAAGAATGACATTCAGTGAGTGCCCAAGAAGTCTCTAGAATGGTGTAAAAATTCACCAGTGCTAGATGATAGGGCATTCACCAAAAAATTGCATGTGCGTGTACGATAGCCTATCAAATGTGTGGTTCCCGGTATTGAGTCATGATATACCTAGGCCTTTCACAAAGAGCTATATGGAGAGTTCAGTCTAGAACTTGTTAGGCTTTTTGAACACGATAGGAATGGAGAATGTAACCTAAGGATCAGAAGAGGACAACAATAAATATGAAAAAGTTGCAACCATCCTAAAAATTTAATACTAATAAATAGTACCTATTTATGATTGTCATTTTAAGGTTATTATTTTTGTTACGTTAGTTACAGTTCAGGACTACTGTATTTTCCTCTTTTGATATATTCTTGGGTGGGCCGTCAATATCTATAATGCAGTTTTATTCTATATTTAGTTTTATACTCTAATTTAAAATTATACGAGATCAATAGATCATACTTGTTTTAGTAACTGCCAAGATAACCTTAATAGGACATTATATAAATTGAATTTATTTGAAACGCAACGATATTTTGTTTATGTGTCAAAAAAATGTGTTAAACATCAATAATGACTAGTACTATACTAATCAAGCACACACTGAAGTACACACAAATGCAATAGATATATCTATTGCATTTATGTGCTTCAAATGGACTCCAATGCATACAGGATGTGAATGAATAAAGACAAACAAAATGGAGAGGTTGCAGAAAACCTCCTATAAAAAATGTTTGATTTAGCATTTTCTAGTTCTATAAAGTGCAACTAAATAAAATATTATCGACTTTTTACTATGTACCTATAGGTGTAATTGATCAAATCACTTTTTATATAGAATTAATATTTGGATATGTCATATACAAGGACTTACAACCGAGAAAAATCGAAGATTTTTTGATTTAAGTAACAATAATCTGTGTCATGAGGTTTTTAACAGAACACTGTCTCCTCAATGAACACCTCAATAGAAACAAAGTCGAATGCAGATTCTGTGGGAAATATGAGGAAACGCCAGAACATCTCATTAACTGAGTGCTCCGAGACGACAACCATTCATGCCATACTCTTTAGTACGACTGATATCGGAGATGGAGAACTAACCTCTGTAAAACTTTGGTAAAACCGTCTCAGATACTGGTTTTGGTCGAAGACGCTGAACCCAATTCTCTACTGAAAAATGGGGGTTGCAATTTAAAAAACTTACAACTTTATCATTCCTTTTGAACACCCCGATATACCATGCCCCTTATATACCTTGCGACATTTATATAAAACTTTCTTTTAATACCTTTGTCAACAATATTATTTTTTCTTATTTAACAAGGGAATAATAAAACTTAATAGCCATTATTTGATTAGCTTTAAAAATAACTTCTGCCACTTCATAAAATGCCATAAATATTCCTTTTATTCTACATGAAATAATATCAGTTAAGGTCAAAACACTTTGATATATACCTTTTTGCATAGACTCCGATTCTTGGTGTTTTAAAAATAAAAAGTTATATATAACAAAAGTCTAGACATAGCAAGTAGTAAAAAATAGAAAAAAAAATGTTAGAGAATAAATTGAAAATATAATTGGCAGAAATATCACATTTTCTACTTTATTCCGATGTCTAGATAATTATCTGCAGGTCTAGAAATAGAAATAACAGATAATTAATTCAAAATTTTCCCCAATTAATGTCCTCTCTTATTGAAACAGTACGGATATTTTATATAGAACATTTTTCGATACATAATTGGAATAATTTTAAATAATTTCGGATAGAATTATTTATTTTCATTGTAATTTTTATTCATTTTCATAATTATAAATAAATAATCTAATAACATTAACTTGTAGAGCAGAAAAAAGTAGAAATTAAATTTCAAGTTGGTATTAAAATTAAAACGAAACGGAGAAAATTCGGTTTTTTTCCAAATATCTTCGGAACCAAGCAGATTTTTAAACATGTTTGAAGAGTTCAGCAAGACGCTTCAACTGTTCACTAATTTAATAATCCTCGCATCTCTTGTGATCAACGAGATCCTTGTAGCCTCCATTCTTATATAGAACCCCATTAAATTCTCTTGAAATAACAACTTATGTAAATTCTCAAACTGTAAAAGATCATTTTTGCAATTCACACTTATAACATTGGCTATGCCTCTCTTTGGAAGCGACAATCTGCGCTTTATGTTTGTGAAACAAGTGAGGCGTAAAGCAATGTAATAAACATCAGAATATCGTGCTGGACACGAAAGTGCAATTTGTGTCACGCCTTACATTTTGTTGTTTACGTGTTATTCATGTAGAAGTAAGTACCGTAAGAACCAACAGATGACCGATGAGCTGACCAATAGAGTTTTAATTTTATTGCAGGATTTCATTTTTAACCTTTTTTATTGGATATTTAGTTAATAATTTGATTATTATTATTATTATTGGAAAGGAAGAAGTACCGCTGACCAAATATTTGCCCTTAGAGAAATACAAGCGGAGAGTTATGAATACGGAAAACAGACAATGCTCCTATTTATCGACTTCCAGCAGGCATATGACAAAGTTAAAAGGACTGAGGTGTAAAAAGCTTTAACAGAATTAGGGTTTAGCAAGAAACTGACCAAGATGATAAAATTGACACTCCAAGAGACACTAAATGAAGTCAAAGTCAACAAGAAAACATCGGAAAAATTTATAATCAGGGACGGATTAAGACAGGGGGATCCACTATCTCCAGTACTGTTTAGTGTAGTATTAGAAAAAGTCATAAAAGATGCGGGAATCAAGAGAGAGGGCCTTCTGTATACAAAAAGACAACAATGCTTAGCCTTTGCAGATGATTTAGTTATCTTAGCAAGACATCGGAAAGAGCTGATATTGGTGACCAAAAGACTAAAAGTAGGCTTTAGTGTTTAATGAGAAGCAAACTAAGTTCATAGGATGGTCAGATAGGGATGTTGAGAAAGGAAGATGTCTACAAATAGATTCTGAGAGAGGGAAACGATACAAGTTTGAGGAAGTAGATACATTCACATATCTAGGAACTGTAGTTCTAAGAAAACCAAATGTAACTCAGGAAATTGTGGCAAAATAATGGCAGGAAATAGTTGTGTTAGCGCACTACAGAAAATTATTAAGAGTAAGAACATCTCTAGAAGTTTAAAAATCATAATGTACCAAACAATGATACAATCAATAGTGCTGTATGCATGTGAAACGTGGACGTTCAATGTAACGGAAAGTTCGAGGCTAGAGATTTGGGAAAGAAACATACTGAGGAAGATTTTTGGAGGAAAGAAGATAGACAACATATGGACCAGAAGAAGAAATGAAAAATTAAAGCAACTATATCGGGCACCGAGTATAACGGGAGTAGAAAGACTACAACGATTGAGATGGCTGGGACACATTGAAAGAATAGCTGAAGCAAGAGTTCCTAGTATGATAATGAAACGTGAAATAGGTGGAATGAAAAGGAGGGGTAGACCGAGAACCAGATGGAAAAAGAATGTTGAAGAGGACTTGAGAAGGATAAGAGTGGATGGGTGGAGAATAAAGGCGAAAGACAGAAGCAAACGGATAACCAATCAGATAACCAAACGGATAACCAATCAAGCCATGAGCCTCTTAGGCTAGTAGAAACTACAGAACACATTTTATGTCAGTGTAACAGCCTGGCAAATGAACTCTGTATATGATAGGCCTTTGACAAAAAGCTATATAAAGAGTCCAGTCTCTAAGTTTTTAGACTTTTTGAAAAGGATAGGATTGGAGAATGTAACCCAATAGGTCTCAAATGTGGCAGTGGAACATACCGATAGCCCTCTCAAAAATCTTAAAATACACACTCGTATAATCAGCAATCCAGATTCCTTGCTAAAAGTGGGTACGCAGAAAACGTAAGAAAAAATGAACTACCTAAAATATATAATTTTTGATACTCACTCTGCGATTCTTTCACCGTTCCAACACAGTTTATCCTTTTGTTCGGCAAACGACTCTTCCCTGCACAAATTATCCGCCAGACTGGCATAGAATCCCTTCGTTTTTGTCATAGTTGACAAGAACAACGACATATGAGCGGTAGGAAAGTGCGAAAACGACCTGACGTTCGACTGCCTCATTTTCGAAAAACTCTCGGTAGTGGCGCTGGTCTCTGTGGTTCGGGACTCCTCGGTTTTCGTGTATTCTGCAATTTTGCAATTCATTTTCACCTGAAAACAAAGATAAATAATTAGAATGGAAACAATAATAACCCATACAAAAATATGTACGGAGCGATGCAGAATGATTGAAATAGATGGAAATACATTGTGAGAGGATGTTAGGATTAGAGATTGCACCATTTCTAAATCAAATGATCGATCGAAAATTTTCAGCCATTGAGTTCCGTTTTTTGGCTTTTCTTTTTCTTCTTGTAAATTTACAAGATTTGACTTTGTTATTTGTGAAATTGATATACGTATTCTTCCATGTAAAAAATACTATTTCCATAAAACTGTAGCATTCAACATGAAAAAGAAATACTTACATAGTAATGGCGTGTCTTCGTGTAAGCATTCAAACAAGGTTAGAAAATAATTATTGATTTAGACAATTGAGTCAAAATGGGGCATTGAAAAAGCAGCAAAGGATATTCAATGTGAGACTCATCTTGTTAAAATATAAATACAAACTAATACATTTGCTTGTGCAGCAAAACTCTGGATCAGGGAAAAGCAGACTGTTCACTGTGTTCACTGGAGAAACATATAGAGACACAGACATGGCAAGGCCTTCATCCAAAAACTTAATTTTAAAACCACACGGATTTGCCTATACTCTTTTGCCTACACTTAACCTGTATCAAGGAAGTCTTTGCTGCAGTCTCTGTGATTAGGATCCTGATATGGTAGAGTACAAAATATGTTACTGCGTGGCTCTGAATTGCAAGTGACCCTTTCTATTTGGGAAAGAAAGGGTAGAACTGGAGGAACTATGATTACATTCTATCAAAGACCTGCACAAGCTGGTGCAAGGCACCGGGATAGGAAACTGGGTGCAGGCATAAAAAGCACAAAAAAGAAGACAAACATAATAAACCTTGCAGGTTGCAGTGTTTTCGGCATAGAACGGCCCCTTAATGTTAAGGACAATAAATGGCACACATATTGGCTTTTCCATTTTTAAACTAAATACATAACAAATTAAAGTGTATTTTCTATACTCTATATTTACGGTAAAAATAAACCCACTGTATATCAACATTTACAGAAATGTATTTATTCAATCTGTTATCTGTGTGTGTGTGTCCTCGTTATTATGAATATTTATATATCTTAATTTATATTAAAAAATGAAGGGAAATTACCCTCGCAAAATACTTTTTTGCAAATATCCTGGGATTTAGAACTTCGATGTTATTAAAAGTTTGTTTTTATTCAAGACTGAAGATTACTCTCGAATTTCTGTTTGAATGACGGATTTATAAATAAAGATATCGTCGTATTTTAAGCAAGATGTCTAATTATCATCTCGAAATTTTACAGGATGGTTCAAAATAAAATTAGATTTGTTAAAGCGATGCTTCTAAGACTCTCTCCCATTTTCTTATTTAATTATAGAATAAGCGTCACAAAATAAATGAAAAAAATTTAGGTTACGTATTCATAATAAATACATTTTGATAATAAAATCTACGCTAAAGGTTCCTTCATATAGGCTTATCATGTTGTGCTATTTTTTTCTGATACTTCTTGGTCAATAGTATTTTGAAATCGTGTAATAACTTTTTCATATTTAATTAATAAAAAATGTGCCCAAAAATGCAATAGTGTATTGATTATATGTTACTTGACCGATTACGTTCAATTTCTACCATTGTATTGAATGCCGAGACAAAAATAAACCGTGATTATGTAGTGGAGCTTGTAGAATGTAGAATGTTTAGGAGGGGAGTTAATCACCGCGACCTTACAGATCTATTGTGTGTTCCCCTTTATTGACTTATAACGAGTTATAACTCATCATGCAGTCTCAGGGCTTTAATAAAAGCCAGTATCTGAGACGGCTTCACAGAGGGCAGCTCTCCACCCTCGACATCTGCCGTACCAAAGTTCATGGCACGAACGGTCGTCGTCTCGGCGCACTCAGTGATAAGGTGTTCTGGTGTTTCCCCATTTTCCCCACAGAATCTGCATTCGCCGTTGTTTCTCAGCTTCAGCCTACTGAGGTGTTCGTTGAGGAGACAGTGTCCTGTTAGAAACCCCGTGACAATCCAAAGATTGCTTTTACTTAAATCAAGGAAAACCTTTGATTTTTCTCGGTTCTAAGTTCTAAGGAACTTTTTCGAGTGTCTTAGACTGTTGGAGGACACCCATTCCAGATTCTTCAGTTCCGATTTCAGTTAGTTCCCGCTTTTCATTGCCTTCTATCCCTTGGTGAGCAGGCACCCAGAGTAGGAGGACTTTATTTTCTTTGCCTAATTTGTTGAGTGTCTCGAGGTATTCTTTGATGTAGGGAGCTTGCTTGAAATACTTGAAATAAACGCTATTTCTTCCTCTATGGAATTGTACTTATGTGAGATGGAGAATCAGTTGGAAAAGAAGGAAATTTAGGAGAAGGTACAAGTTTGCAACATATTTATAGGTTTAAGAGATGGAGAAGAAGGTTTAAGAGAAGGCTTAAGAGAAGGTTTAAGAGATGGAGAATCAGTTGGAAAAGAAGGAAATTTAGGAGAAGGTACAAGTTTGCAACATATTTATAGGTTTAAACATAAATTTTCTATATAATTATTGTATTAATATGTAAATAAGTATGTAATAGTTCGTATTAATGTACAAATATTTATTATTATGTCATGTATACATACATATTTCGAATTTCTAAGAATATCTCTAACGATCTAGATGTAGTTGACCTACAAGTCCTATAAATAGAAACTTTCTATGCACTATTTCAAACGCTTAAATTTGCAACAAATATCAATATTCCCATTCGTTTTACTTTGCCGGTACAGAGAAGCGAAAAAAGGCTCGGATAATTTCGAAAATTACGTCTGAGAAAACTACATAAATTTTCATTTTGGACCTTTGTAACGTTGGCACCTCTCCACGATCGTTTTTGTGAATTAACTGTAAAAGTTGGAGGATAACAGGCGATAAACTAAAACTAGAAATATTGGCAAACGATTTATGACAGTTTACGTTTATTTTTGAAGTGAAACTACTTTACGCGCGTTGGGTGAGTAAAAATTCAAAGCCCCGACACGACACGAGACACGACACGCAATGTTAACAAAGTGGACAGTCTACAGTTTAGAAAAAATCGTCCGGTTTAGGGTGTATTCCGTTGCTTACCTTGGTTATGGTTTTATGTTCCGTTTCTATCGGTTTCCCGAAAGTTTTCTTATTACGGAACACGGTTCCTGAAAAATTCGGTTATAACTGTCACCCTGTCACCAAACTAATCAACGCGAGAAGGCTGGGTTTTCTGGTTTTGTTTGTCAATCAATGTCATTTATGTGACAGAAATCAAGCAAGTATTGAAAGTTCGAATGAAATTCTCATATAATTTCTAAAAGTTGTAATAACATTTTGTATTTACATCCAAAAGCAATGGAGGTAGGCAGTAAAGGTAAATAAATTTCATTAACTAAATAGAATGACTTTTTAGGACCATTTAAACTTATCATGCAGCCATTGTTTCTTAAAGTCATGAACATTTAAAGAAAACGTGAAAAACAAGACAACAAGCAATCGTGAATGTTTTGTAAGCTATAAAAATATAAATATTTATTAGATTTGTTTATTTATTATTGATCTGTTTTTAATATTGGACCTGCAAATCTTCACTTGAGCTGTCTAACGAGTTTAACAGTTTATTAATAAAGTAGTTTTCAATATTAAACTCCATTGAAAAGAAGAAGCAAACGTAAAAACAGAGAATAGGTACATTAAAAATGCATAAAAGATAAATTTTATAATAGAGGTATTGAAATTTAGAAAACGTCAACATTTGACGTTTCCAATATTTTACCAAACCGTTCCGTATCAAACCGATGTTTTTCAGGAACCGCTCTTTACCGTAGTTTACCGGTCTGGTTCGCCCGGTTTTGCAACGGAATTCAGCCTTAGATGCAATTTGGTATGTCAATAAATAGAATCAAGGCCAAATTGACTGTGAACGATACGTGGTACTGTGACAGTTTTGACGTAAGAAACGTCAAAAGTTGATGTCGTCCGATTGCGACCAAATTTGGTGGGTAGGCTATGTGAGAGAGGGTGCACACGCCATCCTGCAAACTTGGATTCGACGTTTCGTTTACATCTTCATCATGGTGGGTCATGGATTTAGTATATTCCTTTATCTTTAATTTCCTTCTTAGTTTGTGTAAAAATACCTAGCCAGTTTTACATAAAACGTTAAATGCCGAACGCTTATTTTGCTACTTTTTTCGGACTAGTGAAATGGACTCTTAAAGCTCTAGATCTATCACCAATATAAAATTCACAATTTTTATTTGTTAAAAATAAGACGTAAAGCTCTGTGATTAATTTTCATATTTTAAATTTACAAAATAATGTAAACAAACAGTATTACAACGTTAAATATGGCAAAAATGACAAGCAAAACGAAAATTTCTAATGAAACCAACCACGAAGAAGATCTTTTAAGATAATAAGTAGTTTTATGAGTTATTTCACATATTTCCATAGCTCCGCGGGCTAGGCTAATTAGAAAATAAATTGTCTAGAATTACAATAGGAAATTACGACAGCGCCATTAATCTTCGAAAATACAATAATATTTTATAGCTCCATGGGACATAAATACGGGTTTTACAACAAAAAATATTGAGCAATATTCTACAGTGTCTTGGTGACGCAATATTAAACTTTTACAAAATTCAGACCTAATATATAAACAAAATCAACATGTCTATAATATTTGATTGCGATAGTAAGTTTTTCTTTATTAAAATTATACGGTTCTTAGCATGTTGTTCGGAAATTATTTAAAGTTTAAAAAGAATTTAAATGTCACTTGTATACGAACCAACAAACAATAGAATTCTTTGTTGGAAATGAAAAAATTATCTTCTTGAACTGACATTCTCTTTAACATTGAAAGTTTTAAAATTTTAATGAACAATGTACAAGTGAGAAGCGCAGATCACCTATGAAAATAGGTACACTTATACGGATCTGGTCATCGATACTGCGTGGTATGGATTTTAACGTGCAAGACAGTGACGTCGACGGCTTAATGGAAAATTAAATGTATTAAAAAGAGATAATAGGTTGGGTTGATACGTTTCTTCTATGCGGTATTGCCGGATTTTGCAGCAAAATTTCAAAAAGCAGGAGTTGGCGTTTATGAAAATGTTGCATCGAGGGTTGGAACTTTATTTTTCACAATTAGTTACTCATTTTACTACAGCTGTAATCGATTATATTTAGCTTTTGGATATATTATCTTCATTTCAGTAGTATACATGAAAGTTTTTAAAATAGTTTATTTTTCTCTACACGCATTTTCGTACAAACATAAAAACCGGCAATACTGTATGCCGCTTTTTATTTTGTCTCTTTGTCTCACAAAATTATCAATTTATAAATATTAACAAACAAAAACTTAACTTGCTCAAGGCATCAGATACCGAATTTTCCGTTAACATGGCAGTTCACATTGATCCAGTATTCCGAAAAAAAAAACATATTATAAGGATATTATTATGTTTCTTATTTAAGATTTACGCTTAAAACTATTCAAATATAAATCTGTATTGCTCATAATTCCACCGTTCAACTCTACTCAACAATTAATTTATATGTTCCGCTCCGTTTATGATGTCTGTTGAGCAATATCTATTTATTTTTGTTAATAATTTCCAACAATTATTTATTTACCTGCTAGATAGGTATAGTAATATAATTTTATTTATAGGTACTACAATTACCTATAAGAAATAATTTTTGATTAATAACTTAGTTTTAAATCGACTAAATCAATATCGTAAATAAGATAGTAGGTACAGCTAGAAGGCTGTGGCCAGTGGTAGATAGCGAAAAGACAAAATAACTACTAGAGCACAAAAAGAACCTAGTATGCCGGGTGTGGAAATCGAACCCACACCTTGAGATTGGTAGACGAGAGCCTGTACCTCTACGCCACCGGGCACCTACCTAGTATCATAATTGTATTAAAACTAAAAGAATTTCGGACTTCCATTGTCTTTATTTACTTTGCTTACACAACTTTTCGGTCAGAACTATCACTCATCAATACTGAATCATTGTCTACCACATTCAAAGTAACTCATAATAATTGTAGGTGTCGCCACTGGAAACTGCCCCCCGGGTGTAAACCTTCTGAGATGGAAGATTTCCAACGACGACTACTACAGAGAATGCGGAGAGGAAGAAAAAACCATAGAGCACCCGCTATGTCACTGTCCGGGACTGGAAAATCGTTTTTTTTAACGGTTTTTTGGAGGGACTAGAGGAAGCAGCAGAAGCTAACATCACAGCGACATGACACCGAAAACTTCGCAGAGAGCTGGAAGTGCTTTAACGCAAAGAAAGAATAAGAGGAAGGTTTGGTATAAAATAATACAGGTGTATCGCTATAGGCCCAAGGCCTCAGAGTGAAGGACTAAACAGGATCCCCAGCAACCTAACCTAATGGTTATAAGTTCACAGAAATAATAATATTATAAACCTTACTGTATAGAAAAAACCAGTTGCTACTTATTAGGTAAATTCAGGAACATTATTTATATAATATATTTTCGTGTCTTTAATTCTATTAGAATTATTCGTTTTTCAGAATTCAAAACGATCGAAATAGTAACATAGGTTATTTAACTGCAGAAGATAAAAAATTAACCTGTTAAGTTTCTGGCTAATTTTTCAAAGGAATCGATGAAAATTTACTGCATTATCGGCCAACACGCCCCGCAATTGCTCGTTAGAAGATCGATGGTGTCATTAAAGGAGTAAGAACGTTCCTAACTTGATTTAAAACGCTTTATCTATTACTCGAAATCGAAGTCTTCGATCAAAGCCTTAAAATTATAATCATCTATATGGATTACAGTACACACGAAATCTCCTATGTCATGATCTAGTAGGTTAATCAATATTTTCTATGAGTTTTATGCCAAAAAAGACAAATGCGAGACAAAATCTCACAGTTCATTTTTTTATTAAAAGCTTTTAAATTTCATGAAATAACTACTACAATGTTTAGTATCTCTCTTCAGATTTCAGTTACTGAATGAGCATAAAAACTTTCGTCATACAAACCGGTTGACAAGATTAGTTATAATGATGAAACTTTGGTCGAACCGTTTTATGTTGAGTTTTGGCAATATGGCAGAAATATAGAGTTTACACATCAATTATCAGTCGAACATTTCTCGTAGTTCTTGTATTTTCTTTCTCACCAAGGGATAGAAGGCAACGAAACAGCGCACGATCTAGCTAGAAAAGGAGCGAACACTCCACTAACTGGGCCAGAACCGTTCTGCTTTCCAAGCGGAAACCAGCTTAAAGCGGAACTTAAGAACCTGGAGGACTCCGTCCGTAACCTGGAATGGGAATCCTCCAACGGTCTAAGACATTCGAAAAAGTTCCTCAGAACTTACGACCGACAAAAATCAAAGAATTTCCTTGATTTCAGTAAGAACAACCTTCGTATTGTTACGGGGTTTCTAACAGGACACTGTCTCCTTAACAAACACATCAGTAGATTGAAGCTGAGAAACAACGACGAATGCAGATTCTGTGGGGAAAATGGGAAACACCTCATCATTGAGTATGCCGAGACGACAAGCGTTTGTGCCATAAACTTTGGTACGGCTGATGTTGAAGATGGAGAGCTAACCTCTGTGGAGCCGTCTCAGATACTGGCTTTTATCAAAGTATTGAGACTGTATGATGAGTTATAACCCGTTATAACTCAAGAAACGGGAGCACACAATAGATCTATAAGGACGCGGTGATTAAGCCTCCTGCTAAACATTATACGGCTCTGTAGAAGTGGACCTTGCGGTGGAGCTGGAGGGAAACCCCCTAATAACACTGAGAGCATTAATAGTTCAAGTTCCAAGAGACCAATCTCAAAGAAAACTACAGGAGAGGCAGCTGACACTTGCGCGAGACCAGCTTCCACAAGTGGCACACGATACCATGCTCCTCTAGTAAGGGTCGGGAGCCTACCTCTGGACCCAACAGGCTACACAAGCTATCGTTTCCTCTACCCGGTCTGGGTCAACCAGAGTAGACCTCAGCGGAGCAGGAGTACGGAGATCCAAATGCTCCAATGAAGGATTTGCCCCAGAGAAAGCAAAAGCAAAAACACTCTTTTTGGAAAAGGGGAGAGTAAAGGAATCAGCTTGGCGCATCTCACCTCTACTCCAACAAGAAGAGAAAAAGGCAGGATGGAAAGCCGTCCAATACCGGGAGGCAAGCAGGGACTTATTATGGTCTAAGAGCTGGCTACATAAAAAACCTTATCATCGTTACATGGCTAATTTTTCTTGTGAAGTATCCTTTTGTGTTGCCATTATGAAATAGTCATGTCTGCCAGCGCGATCCAGGGGCTTAAAGCGGGGGCGGCCAATCGAAAGGGTGAAATTTTGATACTAAAAATATTATAAGGTACACGAGTTATAATTACCAAATAGCTTTTATTTATTATTAAGAAACGTGAAAAATTGTTGGCAGACATTTTTCTCGTGGTTAAAATGCCGACAGATAACACGAAAGAGGCATAAAATGTTTTCCAAAGGTCATAATTTTTAAAACAAATTAAGGCATACATGCATGCTGATTGGTGGAATGTCATATTTCTTTATTTTAAAAGCCGTATACAAAAGGGCAGACAAAAAGATCGTGGCTAAATCAGCGACAGACAGTTATCAAAAGCGCGATATTGCTCTCTACAGGGTGAATCTGCGCTAGAGTCACCATATATCAGGTCCTCATTATAGGAATTGACCTCATATCGAAAGAGGTAATAGAGAAAGAGAGATATATCACTGGATAATTCCACTCTGGTTGATTTACTTTTGATGTACATTAAAACTGATACAGTGTAAATCCTGCTTAATGTAACTGTTTTTATTTCGATCATAAGTACAGTATTTTGACATTAAAAAAATCATTATATTTTTTAAATTGTTATAAAAATGTTAATGTGATATTTTCCATATATACTATTTCACTTTGTTAATTAAGCATTTAATAATTAATTTACGACACATAATGTTGCAATAAATTAGCCGTGAATAATTAAGAAATAGCACTGCATTAATATTAATATATTTATTTGGAAGGAAGTCAAAACTAAATGTCTCGATCAATAAATAACTGACAATTTAAAAACAAACAAATTCAAAATAAATTACTAAATTTTATCGAAATATTTCGCGATGTAAATAATGTTTGTTGTGTAATAAATCCTATTAAAACTTATCCTTAATGGAGAATGAGGCACTTAAAATTTGTTAAGTGCCGTTATCAAATTTTAAATAAATATTTAAAATTAAATTAAGTAGTTGTTTTTAGTTTACTTAGGTAATATAAAACGGTGATATAAAAATACAAATTGATGTCGAAAAACATAAGGTACCCAAGATTTACAAATCAGACAAAAATGTTATAATGATGCGATAGTAAGTTAAACGTTCATGGTGAACCGGTGATAGGATTTTTTTGAAAATTTAAATTTTTGCATAAAGATATCTGCTAAATCTATCTAAATTATTTTCAGCGTTACAGTGTTGCTTACCCTGCTGTCTATCTCCTTAATCTTCTCCATCGAATACATGATAGCCGAAGAAATCTGCACGTCCAAATTCTTAATCGCTATATCAACATTAGTACCACCCTCGTTCGAGTTCTTCTTCACCGCGTTGATCAAATTCTCTATCCCCTCCACATACACGTTCCATGGCAAATCCAACTCAGCCACGTACTTGTTCAAACAGCCTCTCATCACGTTCAAACAATAATCCGAACAAGGCCGATTATGCTTGGGTAGAGCAAGACATTTCGGACAATAAGTCATTTTGAGCAAAGCCGTATGACACTCAGAGTTAGTTGTAGCATGTTCATCAATAATCAACGCGTACGTGGTGTTTAGCACTTCCATTCCGATACCCAGAGCCTCTAAAAGCAGTCTAGTCGTCTCCAGACTCTTTGATAACGAGTCTGAGACTTGTTTAGGGAAATCGGAGAAGGGTGCTATCACATCCATGTTGTCTTTGAGGCATTGTTTGTATCTTGTGAGTGAAATCACCGGATGATAGTCCGGTTTGTTGGTGATAGGCTAGAGGGAACAGTTCGGTGAAGAACTGGTTGACGCTGGCAACGATGTCGGATGGAGTCTTGGTGGGTTTTTGGTCGGACGGGTCGATTTTGACGTAGTCTCGGATGTCGCGGTAGAGGATCTCGATGGGTTTCGTTGATAATTCGGCCATGGAATAGTAGACCTGAGAGAAGATATGTAGGGTTTTGTTTTCGGATTGCTTGGCCAGTTCCCAGACGTGATCTGAAACAAACAAAAAAGAAATATTTAAATAAAACCGATAAAAGTTGCAGATTTTTCGATTATCCTAGATAGTACCTCCTCAAGAATAGAAAATAATGCCAAAAATGATGGGAAAAGATAATCGTCGGTATCGGTAAGTTACGACAGTTTTTATATGGTAAAAATATGTTAATTGTTGTTGTACCGATAGGCATAGGTATCGACCGTCGCAAATTTCTTTCGACGAGGATCGGTATCTCTACCGTGCCCTTGTTAACCTCACGGTAGAGATACCGATAGTTATCGGTACAAATTTTCTGTATACCCTATTAATGACAGCTAAAATTATGACAACAACAAACACGGCGCTCATTGGCCGTAAGTACCGATAGCAGCTGTCGTAACTTACCGATACCGACGATTGTCGATGCCGTGTACAGAATAGCGCCCCAGATAGGAAAGCAAATGTTCCTGTATGGAATCATCAAGAGAAAGAGACAATTTTCATCAGGATGACGCATCCTTAAATTCTGAGAACACGGTCTTGTAGTTCGACATAATCTCCTCAGAGTAACCTTTCTCAAGCAAATCTGTTTTAATATTATTTAGTTAAGCATTAACAGATGCTTGATCATTGCATGTGATATTTGCTCGATGGCATACTTTTCTGACTATTCCTATTTTGTTTGCTTGAGGTTTAGCTAAAATAATAAGAGATCGATCTCATAATTCATATAAGTGTATACAACTTTCAAGCAAACGTTAAGGAACTAGTTCTTTAACGAATTATGAAGAAAACTATAGTATATTACATATCGAGGAGAGAAGTGTTTCATTACTGTCGATATATTGACTAAATCTCGAGACAACAATGAAAACTTTCCTCCGAGGTTTGTATACTATTTTTTATTTACAACCACATCATTAATTAAAAATTAGGGACAGTAATTTATTTTGAAAAAAAAAAAAATATGCGAAAATTTGTCGTTTTCTATTTTGGCATTTCCATATCTATAGTTTCCGGTACCAGTGGTTGTTATGACGCAAACCTTCAACAGCAAAACAAACAACTAAGTGACAGTTTTGAATATCTCGTTCGCTTTTTCGAATTTATATAACATAGAAAGCCAGAATGTTGTCGAAAAGTTCTGATAATGAAGACCACTTTAATATTGGTACTCCACCAGAACTTACAGAAGCTGCAAAAAGAGCAGAAACCAGTTTACTTCCAGAGAAAAGTAGAGGGCGATATGAAATAGCATTGAAAGTATATGAAAAATGGTGTGCCGAAAGAAATGCTAAGAATATTGCTTCGGATACAGTCTTGATGGCATATTTTAACGACATGGCAAGGCAGAAAAAGCCATCTACTCTCTGGGCTACGTACAGCATGATACGGACAATGCTAGAATTAAGGGAAAGGACTGACATATCAAAATATTACAAACTCGTCGCTTTTTAAATCGCCAGAATGTAGGTTTTAAGCCAAAGAAGTCTATCATTTTTACCTTCAACAAATAAATGTATTAAAATCTTCAATTATTATTGTTAATCTTCTTGTTTTTTTTTGTTGATGTTAGATAAGTATTTAATAAAGATATAACAAGAATATTTTGCTTAATTAAATGAGGCGAGAAATAAGAAAAACCGTGTGAGGGAAATGGGTGAGGGCAATGGAAGAGGGAAGAAATGTAGATATAATTTGACATTTTCAAATTTTTTAAAAGTCAGTAATGTCAGTATTACATATGTGGTTGTAAATAAAATAAATTATCTATTACATTTATTAAATACATGTTTTTTATTTCTTCATTATTCCTTTCTTATCTGAAGTACTTCGATATCTAAATGAACGCTTACCATTATATGGAAGTAACGAGCGATCGGGACTAAGAGCTTCTGGTAAAAGAGAAATTATATGGTAGCGCCGCAGCAGCTCAACTAGACGTGAATAACGGCTGTTGTTGTCTAACAGGTAAGTCATGCAAGTCTAGACACGTGCTCGCTCGACAACCACCTGTACTTTCCTTCTTGGGCAGCGCTAATTCATCATGCCCCGGTATTTATGGGCCGCGCTCGGCATAACGTAAACAAATGGCTCGATAAATTTCGCATTTGTGAGCGGAATATTTGCGTAAATTTCGATCCCTTAAAAATGACAATGCTTTTCCCGGATAATTTCAATATTTATGTCATCGTGGGATGGAGAATGGTATTGCGCATATTGAAATTTACTTCGATTTACATCATAGGAGAAGAGATTGGTCTCCAGTTGCTTGTGCTTCCATTTAATAAATTGTTGTCTTTTGCCTAAATTTACTACATCTCATATAGTTTTTAATGGGTTTTGTACAAAGTATATAAATCGGGTAAATATTATGTCAGGACCTGAATTAGCGAATTGTATACAGCGATATTAAGCAAAGTAAGACCAAGACCAGTCTCGCTCGACTACTTTATGTAATAGTTGCTCTTTTGGGCTAAAATACAACAAAAAATAAATCAAACAGTATATAATATCAAGCCACTGCACGTTTTTATTGGTAAATATGCCATTGTTACATTGATTAAGATGGTCATTGCTGGAAACAGTACTGAGAAAACTGTCAGCTCAGGAGCTTGGAAACACCCCCAAAAAAATCCATTCCTTCAACTCCCACTGGATGACATATCAAGAATATCAAGAATTGAACTTTAAGAAACACCTCGCTGTAGTATTGAGCACCAAAAAGAATTGGAATACCATATACCAATGCTGCCAAAATCAACCTTCCAGAACCGTTCTGCTTCGCGAGTAGGAATCGGCAAGACAAGAAATCTTGTCTTGTCTTGAAATATTTTCAAGAATTTAAAAAAAAATCTTGTATTGACCATTTCTTGAGAGTTGATTTCTTGTCTTGGTTCAAGAAATCTTGAAATTTCTTGATATCTTGACAAAAGGGGAACCCCCCGTTTAAAATTCGTTTATTAAAGGGGAACCCCCTATTTAAAAGTCGCGGTGAGATTGGTTAATGTGATGTTTATGCTTTATGCGTAAAATCGAGGGTCAGCCATCTAATTATACTACAATAGTTAAAATCATCAGATTTACATAATTTTGTTATTTATTATTATTATTATCTAACATTAAAATGAGTGATTGCGATGGTTTGTTGAGCAGCAAATCTGAGCCGTTCGTAATTGAATCTGGTTCAGAATACCTACCACCTCAGATACCTGGACGTAGAAGTTTAATTAGTGACTTTGACAGTATATAGTGACGGTGATAATACTACTACAGATAAAAACAGTCAAAACAACAATGATAAAAGCTACTCTACTTCAGTGGCGTACATAAAATGTATATTTTTTTATTTTAAAAGTTTTACGTTAATTGAAAAAGTCTTAATGTCACTGAAGTAGACCCGCTTTGCAAAGTTTTTTTTCTATTCTAATATCGTAGGCCATAACATATCCAAAAAATTATAAAAAAAAACATTTAAAAATTAAAAAATTATTAGGCATTAAAAAAGGTTTCAATTTAATTTGGCCCACAGTCTTGATCTTGTCTTGAAATTAAGACAAGATCACGAAGTTGTCAAGAAAATGACGACCCCTATTCCCGCGCGGAACCCAACTTAAAACGGAACTTAAGAATCTGGAAGACTCCATTCGTAACCTGGAATGGGAATCCTCCAGTGGTCTAAGACACTTGAAGAACACCTCAGTAGATTGAAGCTAAGGAACAACGGCGAATGCAGATTCTGTGGGAAAATGGGGAAACACCAGTACACCTCATCACTGACTGCGCCGAGTCGACAACCATTCATGCCATAAACTCTGTTATGACTGATATTGGAGACGGAGAACTAACCTCTGTAAAACCGTCTGGGATACTGGCTTTTGTCAAAGCCCTAAAACTGAATGATGAGTCAAAAGTCAAGAAAGGGAGACACAATAGATCTATAAAATCGCGGTCATTAACTTTCCCCTATATATCTTCAATATAATATCTTAAATCTTATATTATCTAAACAAGCTGATACCGGCGACGTTGTTGACGTTTTCCGTTTACCTCTGGTTGGTATATTTCACGTATTCCCTTTGTTACGTACCTTAAGATTTGTCTATTTCTTTGAATAAGAAGACTAAGGAAGGAGCATAATGCTATCCATGTATTCATGCAGGATGGGCGGAAAAGGACTCTAGGATGGGGAGCCTTGACATTTCTGTTTGACGATTCATTTGACACATTTGAATTTGATTTGAAATTTTGTGGATTTGTCAGTCTTTACGGAGCTTATTTTATGTTATTTATTATTTATTCTACTACTGATAGTTGTATAAAGGTAGTAAATCTAGATGGAAATTGTGGCAAAACTTAAAATCAACAGTGACACTATCGCGATTTATCGAAAAAGACTCTAAAATAGTTGGTTGTGTAGCGTGCGGTAGATCTCGGCAAAAATCGAGTGAAATAATGGAACAACTTTTCGCTAGTAAGTGACTATATAATATACATACGTGTAGTAAACCGATCATTTATGAAATTCACTTAAATTAACTAATTATATATTTTTTCTTTCATTTTTGCTTTTATTTACTACTTGTCAAAGATTAGATGTCAAAGAATTTAGATACGTCAATTTGACTTACCTGCTTCAGTAGCGTATCGGATGTTTGTGTTAATAAATAATTATTAAAACTTATCTATTTTTTTTAATAATATGTTTTATAACAATTTTAATAACTACAAACATTTATTCACAACGTAAAATAAAAAAAAATATTGAGTCTATCCCACGTCCACCCTACATCATAGTTTTACATTTTTTAAATGAAATTAGAACGGCACTGATAAACCGGAATTTAAGTCGGCCATATTTGAGTCCCATCGCGGTGGACCTAAGATTTTTGATATGCTCCTTTATCAGTCTTCTTATTCAAAGGTCTATTTATATTATTTGCCTGAAATTTAATTATAATATTTTATGTCCACCAAAAGCTACCGACAAAAATCCGCATCTACCTATTATGCGATC